TGGAGAAGTGGATCCGTGTGGCAGAGGTAAGAGAGGAGATTGGCCCTGTTGGGGACCATGGTGTGGAGAGAGATCCCACAGCTGTGGCCTCCCTCTGTGACCCCACAGGAGTGCCGTCTGCTCCGAAACTTCTCTTCAGTTTATGCTGTGGTGTCGGCCCTGCAGTCCAGCCCCATCCACAGGCTTCGGGCAGCCTGGGGGGAAGCAGCCAGGTGGGGAGGATGGGGCACTGGGCTGGGCTGAGGGCTGGGAGAGGGTGCTAAGCCGCTGGTCCTCAACCTGCTGCCCTCCTTCCCCCAGGGACAGCCTCAGGGTCTTCTCCAGCCTCTGCCAGATTTTCTCCGAGGAGGATAATTATTCCCAGAGCCGGGAGCTGCTGCTGCGGGTGAGGCCCCGTTCCCTGGCCTTCCTCGCCATCCCTGCGCCTCCCCCACCCTCATTTCCCTTGTTCTGTCACCCCCAGGAGGTGAAAGGGCAGCCCTCTCTGGAGCCGAATTCCAGGAAGGCCCTGAAGTCTGGCTCCCGGGGTGGGGTGAGTGCTGGGGGTGGTTGTGAGGAGGAAGGAGTGTGTGTGGGGGGTGCAGTCAGAGGGGTGGGAAAAGGCACAGCGGGGTGAGGACAATTCACTTTGTCCTCTGAGGCATGGGGTGGGGGAGTGCAAGGGCGGGAGCCCTCGGGTCAGTGGCAAGGGTGCCTGACTCTGACCTCTGCCACAGGGTGTGGTCCCGTACCTTGGCACTTTCTTGAAGGACCTGGTGATGCTGGATGCAGCCTCCAAGGATGAGCTTGAGGTCAGTGGTGTGTTCAGTGGGATCTAGAACCAGGGGTTCAGGGTCAGACAGGCCTCCCTCCAGGAAGGTGCTGAGGTCGCACCAGGGCTCGGGCCCGAGCGCCAGGGTTCTGGTTCTGTTGCTTTGGCGAGCTGCGTCGCCTTGTTGTGCCCGAGTGACCTGCAAATGGGAAACTAGTGACAGTGTCTACATCTGTTGTGAAGGTTAAATGAATTAATCCTTGGCCAGTGCTGAGAACATGCCTGGAATTTAAGCAGACACAGACTTTGTTAAGTGATTGAATACTGGAACTTCGGGCAAGTTCCTAATTCTCTCTGAGCCCTAATTTTCTTTTCTGTAAAGTGGAAAATTTCTAATCTGAGATACTCAATTTAGAGGGTAAGGAAGGGTGCTTAGGGAATGACAGATTGGGGGGTGTCAGAGAGGTGGGGGGCGGCCAGAGGTGCCTGTGCTTGGGAGGGGCGTGGTCTCTCTGACAGGGTGGGACTCTCACCCCACCCCCTTGCTCTTGCAGAATGGATACATCAATTTTGACAAGCGGAGGAAGGTGAGGGGTGCTTGGGCTGGGTGCTAGATATCCCTCACCACGTCCCAGGAAGGGGAGAAGGAAGGAGGGAAGTCGGGACCCCGGAGTTTTGGCTCCTACAGTCTGAGGGTCCCTTCCTAGGAGTTTGCTGTCCTTTCTGAGCTGCGGCGGCTCCAGAATGAATGTCGTGGCTATGACCTCCGACCCGACCCCGACATCCAGCAGTGGTTACAGGGGCTCCGGCCACTGACAGAGGCCCAGAGGTGACTTGCTGGGTGAGGTTGGGACTTCAGGGCTCAGGCAGGGTATGGGGATCATGTGTCACATCCTGACCTCTGCCCATTGCCCCTCTCCCCAGCCATCGAGTGTCCTGTGAGGTGGAGCCACCTGGTACTGGTGACCCTCCTGCCCCCCGAGTGCTTCGGCCCACGCTGGTCATCTCGCAGTGGACAGAGTGAGGGGGTCGTGGCTGGGGGGAGTCTCTTGGGGACTGGCCTTCTTCCTCTGACCCTCACAACCTCCTGCCACTCCAGGGTTCTTGGCTCTGTTGGGGGTCCCACCCCGCTTGTCTCCTGGGACCGGCCCAATGTTGGGGGAGATGAGGTGCCTGGAAACCCTGCTCCTCTGTTGACCCGCCTGGCCCAGGTGAGCTTTGCTCCTGACCTCTGACCTCAACACTGACCCTGACTCTTGTGAATGTTTCTTCCTTGATCTCCCTGCCTCACACCAGTCCCTCATGTTGTTTGCCCCCAGCACATGAAGTGGCCATCTGTGTCATCTCTGGACTCTGCCCTGGAAAGCACTCCATCCCTACAGAGTCCAGCTGGCCCCAGCCACCTGTCCCCCCCAGCATCCTCTCCTAGGCCTTCTCGAGGTCACCGCCGTTCAGCTTCCTGTGGTACCCCACTCAGTGGGGGTGCAGAAGGGGCCTCCAGGGGGCCTGCATCCGGGGGAGGGGGCTCTGGGCCAGGGGCTTCCGATTGTCGAATCATCCGAGTCCAGATGGAGCTGGGGGAAGATGGCAGTGTCTACAAGAGCATCTTGGTGAGGGGCCGTGGGCTGGGAGGTGGGGGTGAGGATGGTGCTTTGTGGGATCATAGTCTTAGGTTTGAACCCAAATGGGAGGATGATTGTAGATGATTGTAGTTCTAATTCTGACCGTTTTATTTGAAAGCCTTGTTAGCTGCGGCACCTGAACTTTTGGTAACAGCAGTTTTCCCCACCGGGGAGCAGCCCTATCTCACTGGGCACGTGAGTTGGCCTGTGGAGGACAGAGGGCCACCACATTGGGTTTCCCTGTTCACGCTGAAGTATTGGAGTGGCTGTGGTTAGAGCAGCGGTTCCCAATTTTTTTTTTGGCCAGTTCCCACCTACGCATCTCTAAATCCTGATGCCCCCTCCCCCGTGACATACAATTCCTCTTATTCAAAAAGTGAACTCCTAGTCACGTGGAGGAAGCCTAAAAGGCCATTAACTTGGTCTAAACAAGCTTCCAAAGAATATAGCATCCATGAAAGAGAAAAATAAAAGAATGAAAGGATAGCTGAAGTACTGAGGAAGAAATCACTAAGAAACTGTTAAAAAATATGAAGTGATATGAAAACATGGCAGCTTCAAAACATAATAGAGAACTGAAATGCATAAATATGTCACAATATGTATTTATATACTGTATATGAGGCCCCTAGAACCATAAGAAATGCAAAAAAGTCACTGTTGATAACTCATTCTCGAATTGCCCCCCTGTGGGGCGTGTGCCCCAGGTTGGGAACCACTGGGTTAGAGCGTTGGTCTTAGCACCAAAGGGTCAGGGGTTCGATTCTTGATCAAGGGCACGTACCTGGGTTGCAGATTCGATCCCCAGCCCCAGTTGGGGCACGTGCAGGAGGCAGCTAATCAATGTGTCTCTCTCACATCGATGTCTCTCCCTCTCCCCCTCCCTTCCACTCTCTCAAAAAAATAAATGTATTGAACACGGGTAACCTTTTTTGGTTGGGAGATCAGTGGCTGGGATTGGAAGGATGGGAATCAGAGGTCATTCTGGTCAATTTATTGCTCTTTTGGTTTCCTGTCCTGCCAGGTGACAAGCCAGGACAAGGCTCCAAGTATCATCAGTCGTGTCCTTAAGAAAAACAATCGTGATTCTGCAGTGGCTTCGGAGTATGAGCTAGTGCAGCTGCTACCAGGGGAGCGAGGTCAGAGGAGACGTGGGGGGAGAGTGGTGCCCATCAGTGGGAATGCTTCTACATCCAGGTGGTTACTGGGGGAGCAACTGTGTTTGAGCTTGACGCCTCCTCTCTGAACCTACAGAGCTGACCATCCCACCCTCGGCCAATGTCTTCTATGCTATGGACAGAGCTTCACACGACTTCCTCCTGCGGCAGCGGCGAAGGTCCTCTACCGCTACCCCTGGTCTTGCCAGCGGCCCCTCTGCCTCAGGAACTCCCCCAAGTGAGGGAGGAGGGGGTTCCTTTCCCAGGATCAAGGCCACAGGACGCAAGATTGCCCGGGCACTGTTCTGAGAAGGAAGCTCTCATGGCTCACAGAACTATTGGTGACCACACCAGATGCGGGTAGCCATGCTGAATGGTGGCAGTTCTATTGCATTGGGAAGAAACCCAGAAAGGTGGCCAGCTACCCTGGGGCAGTGAAGTGCCACTGGTTTGTCAGACAGCCAAGAGCTCCCGCCCTGTGGGACCTGGTAATGACATTGGATACCTGTGTATAAACACCCTTTCCATGAATGCAGCACATGGCCATGTTGTAGCATGCCAAGGAAAGGCCTAAAAGGGGGAGAAGAAAGACCTAGAGGCTCTGAGTCCCAGGAAGAGAGGACGGCAAGAAGTAGGTTCCTGTTCTGGGGGTTCCTGTCACTGTGACAACACTAAAATAAACCAAAACACTACCTGAGTTCTATTCCCGTCCTTGCAGTGTATGAACTAGACGCTGGGAGTGCGGGAGGGGAGCTAGTTGGAATTTAGATGGAACATGAAGGGACCCAGCGCTTTCTATCCCAATGAAGATCTGAAAGTGGAGTGTTGCTGAAAAACCGTGCCCTCAGAATCCTGGTTTATTCCTCCCTAGCAACCTCTCCGTCCCCGGTCCCTTGTTTTGCTCTTACATTTTTCTCCTGAGTTGTCACAGACCCATGTCAAGTACTAGCCACCCAGTTAAAGTGATCAGAATGAAGAACTCCCCTGGCTGCAAATTTATAAGAAACAATTTTAGGACAAAGACATGGAAGAACTTTGTGGGCAATGTACAAACTTGGAGGACTTAGAACATCACAAAGTATGTGCTAGGATTTAAATCAGTCCAAGCTACATTCAAATTCTAACAAATGAGATACTAAAAAGACTAAGAGATGCTGAGGCTACTTGGAGGATACGAAATAGCACTGAGGTCCCACCTTTCTTCCTGGGGTCTCAGATGAGAGGACTGAATTAAACTCATCTTCCCAACAACGGTTGCACTGTAAATGCCCTCATGTTTCCTAAAGGGGCTGCCAACCAAGCTAAGTGTTTTATATGCAGACGAGGCTTGAGATATTTCAGATTTTAGTCTCAAGAAAGGATGGGTTACTCTGTCACAAAGAACAATTCCAGTTCCAGGAATTTGCACTTGAAGTAACAGGTGGTGTATACACATTAGGTGGAAGGGGCTGGGATAATGGATGAAGACAATTACGATAGAAGTGGCTGGTCAAGCAGCCAGGTGACTTCACATTTTATTGGCTACAGTATAGACCCTAGAGCTGCCTGGGTTCCCCCTGCCCCCGGACCATATGGTCAGGCCTTGCCAGGAGCCCCTGCCTTGGCCGCCTGCGCCCGCTGGAACTCCTGCTGCAGCTGCGCAAGGGTCTCCCTCTGTTGCTCTGACTGCTGCTCCAGGTCCCGGAGCTGGGATTCGTATCGCTTACTGAGAGGAGGCAAGAGAGACAAAGGAGCAAATCAGTTAGGGAGACTTAGTGAGGATGCTGAAGGCAAGAAAGATCAGTGGACAACTTGAGATCTAGGGCAGGGAGGGGAAGGGGTTGGAGGACGTGGACCTCTGCAGTGGTTCCCAGCACCTCTCCTCGGTGGTGTCAGGCGCATCAGGGTGGGGGACAGACTCACATTTCAGCTGTGATATAGTCCAGTCTCTTGCCTACTGTGGCCCGAGCCTCCCCCAGCTCCTGCTTGACCAGCACGGGACCCAGAAGTTTAAAGACCACGTTGGACGCATCCAGCAAGGCCAGTTCCTGGTGGAGGCGTGGAGCACAGGACGTCAGCATCCTGGCCAGGACCGCCCCTCCCTCCTTGCCCCACAGTCCCAGTCTCACCTCCTTCACGATATTATTTTCTGTTAGTTGTGCTTCAAGCTTCTGCCGCCCTGACATGGATTTACTCAGGTCTGTGGGTGGGGGAGTGTGGGTGGCAGGAAAGACTTTATTAGAGAAAAGACACGTGCCCCCTGACCCCCACCATCCTAGTCAGAAGAAAACGGGGTGGGAGGCAGTCAGGCCGGGGCGGCGCGGCAGGGGTGGGGAAGGAAGCATGGCCTGAGAACGGCTTTGGGTTCGGAGCGCGCGAAGGGGTGACGGGTCGGGGCGAGGCTGCGCCGACCTCTCCCTCGCCCTTGCCCTTACCCTTCTGCAGCTGCTGGTATTTCTCCACTTCCCCCTGCAGCTTCTTCTGGATCAGCTCAGCCATGGCGGCGGCGAGCCTGCGGGAGAGGGGCGCCGGGTCTCACGCTCTGGAAGGCCCCGCGCTCCCGGCAATGGTCTGGCTCGCGGAGGTGACAGCTCTCCTGAGGGGCGGCCTCTCGGGGCACAGCGGCTTCTCCCTTCGTATCCACACGGCCCAGGCCGTAGCGAGTGGCAGTTGCAACAAGACCCCAAACCGAAACCCCGCCTCACTCTCGTTCTCCCTTCAGTAATTACAAACCCGGAAGTAAACAAGGAATGCTGGGAATGCTACCATCTGGTGCATGCCGGGAATTGTAGTTCAGACGCGTTTAGTAAGCGGCGTTCTGCTAAAAATACAAATTTTGAAGATTCTAGGCAAGATGGGGAAACGAAGATGGAAAAATCAACCGCACCGTTTCTTAGGACCTGGTCCCGGACTTGCCTTTCTTTCGTTACTCGTGCATAAGCTGCCATTCGGAGGGGCGGGAGCAAGGTCCGCCTGGCCCCTTAAGGGCGAGCCGCCCTCATTCAAGATGGCGACTAAGGCTTCCCACCTGGTACAGCGCTGATTGGATGAGGGTTGGAGGACTTCCGGGAGATACCTGTGCGTCTGTGGGACAGCTGAGAGGAGTTTGCACGTGGATCGTCCGTAGAGTGGGCAGGATGGAGACTGCCCCCAAGCCGGGCAGGGATATCCCTCCCAAGAAAGACAAACTTCCGACCAAGAAAAAGGTAGAGATCTTCCTGGGGCGGAAGGAAAGTTTTCAGGCCCGGGGCCGGAGGGGCGGGGCACGGGCAGCGGACCATCAGGGCTGCTGATCTGCCCGTGGAAACCGCCACGGCCCAGCCAGCCTGATTCAGTGGTTGGGCATTGACCCATGAACCAGGAGGTCACGGCTCGATTCCCAGTCGGGGCACATGCTCGGGTTGCGGGCTCGATCCCCAGTGTGGGGCGTGCGGGAGGCAGCCGTCAATGATGGTCTCATCATTGGTGTTTCTCTCTCTCCCTTCCTCTCTGAAATTAATCATAATAATTATATATATAAAAGAGACCGCGGAGATATTGGGAGGAAGAGACCACTCCGACCGCTGCCGCCGCCTCTCCAGGGCCCTCTCCTAACAAGAAGAGGAATCGAGAGCTCCGCCCCCAGAAGCCAAAGAACACTCACATCCCAAAGAAGTCTCGCGTCTCCAAGAAGCCCCAGATCGTAAAGAAACCCCGGGAACGGAGGGATGCGGAGCCGCCGCGGAGCTTGTCGGGGGTGAGCATGGGACCTGACAGGGCAGCGGGGTATCGCCTTGTGCTTTGAAGGAGCCAAGGTTGGGGTCAATCCGAGCCCGTCAGCGAATTGCCTCCTCCCTGCCCCAGGCCCAGGACCCATTCCCAGGCCCCGCCCCGGTCTCTGTGGAGGTTGCTCAGAAGTTCCGCCGCATTGATAAATCCAAAAAGGTGAGGGCCAGTCTGAGAGCGGGGTTGCAGGCAGGGGTGTCTGGATGAGATGGATGGAGGGGGACCAGGTGGCTCTCTCGTGACCTCACATGGTGTCTGTTTTTCCCCCGGACCTTCCCCACCACCGATGTTATAGCTGCCACATTCTAAGTCCAAAACCCGAAGCCGGCTTGAGGTGGCCGAGGCTGAGGAAGAGGAAATAAGTGTCAAAGCCGCTCGTTCGGAGCTGCTGCTTGCAGAGGAGCCTGGGTGAGTGGCCCCTGATCCGGGCCTCTCCTGCCCCTGCTCCCTGGGACCGTCCTTTCCCGTGCCCTGTTGGCACACTTACCTCATAGTAGGAAGCTTCACTGCAGCTCCAACGCTCACTTGCAGGTTCCTGGAAGGGGAGGATGGGGAGGACACAGCAAAGATTCGCCAGGCGGACATCGTGGAGGCTGTGGACATTGCAAGTGCAGCCAAGGTGAGCCTGAGGATGGGGACGGGCCTGGCAAGGCGAAGTGGGGACTGGCAGGGGGAATTACTGAAGTGAGCCATTTAGTTCTTCACTCTTTTTTTAACTCTTCCCTTGCCCAGCACTTTGACTTGAACTTGCGACAGTTTGGACCCTACAGGCTGAATTACTCTCAGACTGGGAGGTAAGGTTGAATTCTAGTGACTCTGGAAGTGGAATGAGGGCCCGTCTCCTTAACCACTTCAGCCAGGCCCACTCATACCGTGTATGTTTGGTTGTTGATGTGGGGTGTGTCCTGTGATTTGCTTGCGTGTGAGGGTGAACACGGAGGACATCTCTCACCTGGAGAGAAGGGGCTGGCGTGAAGCAGACCTCAAATGGTCTGAGGGTGCTCCCCTGCATTGACACCCTGCGTGTTCCCCACCTTCAACAGACACTTGGCTTTTGGAGGGCGCCGGGGTCATGTGGCTGCCCTTGACTGGGTGACGAAGAAGCTCATGTGTGAGATCAACGTCATGGAGGCGGTGCGGGACATCCGGTCAGTGGCCTGTCCGTCAGGGGTCAGTGGCGGTGAGACAGCCCTTCTTGATTGAATGACAGCTGTGACCCCTTACCCCCTGCTCTCTCCTCCCAGGTTCCTGCATTCGGAGGCACTGCTTGCTGTCGCTCAGAACCGCTGGCTTCACATCTACGACAACCAGGGAATTGAACTCCACTGCATCCGCCGCTGTGACCGCGTCACTCGGCTTGAGTTCCTGCCTTTCCACTTCCTCCTGGCCACCTCTGTGAGTGGCTGTCAGCACAGGGACTGGGTGGGAGCCCCTGAGAAGACCATGCCTCCTCTGGCACCCCAGTAGAGGGAGGACAGGGCAATCAGGACTCATTTCTCTCTCACAGTCAGAGACAGGCTTTCTGACCTACCTGGACGTGTCAGTGGGGAAGATTGTGGCAGCTCTGAATGCCCGGGCCGGACGACTGGACGTCATGACCCAGAACCCTTACAATGCCGTCATCCATCTTGGACACAGCAATGGTGGGTCCCTGGCTGAGATTTGACTCTCTGACCATCCTACCCTGCTTTTCTCCTATATTTGTACTCCACCAGTCCCGTAAAGTTGCCCTTTTACCTTCCTCTCTGGGCTCCTCTTGGTCTAGAGTCGCCATCTTTCCCAAGTTTAATCCCCTCCGTGCCCACTTTGGCTCTTCTCCTCTGACCGCCAGGTACTGTGTCCTTATGGAGTCCGGCCATGAAGGAGCCGTTGGCAAAGATTCTCTGTCACCGCGGGGGGGTCCGGGCTGTGGCAGTAGATTCTACAGGCACGTAAGTCACTTGTTTGGGCATGAGGTGCTGGTGGTCGTAGCTGGGTGGAAAGGTATGGAAGGCCGTGTGTCTTTAAGAGCACAGACTCTGCATCAAGCTGCCTGGGTTTAAATCCTGGTGTCACCACTGACCAGCCATGTGGGTATGGGCACATTACATAACTCTGTGTGCCACACTTTCCGCACCCTGAGAGTGGGGACATGCGTGTCTAGCTCAAGGGTCAGCAAACTTTTTCTATAAAGAGCCAGGTAGGCCTGGCTGGCACGGCTCAGTGGTTAAGCATCGACCTATGAACTGGGACATCACGGTTCGATTCCTGGTCAGGGCACATGCCCTGGTAGTGGGCTTCATCCCCAGTGTGGGCAGTGCAGGCTGTAGCAATTGATGATTCTCTCTCATCATTGATGTTTCTATCTCTCCCTCTCCTTTCCTCTCTGAAATCAATATATATATGTACATGTACATATATAGACATATATAAAAGCCAGATAGTAAATGTTTTAGGCTTTTCTGGCCAAGAGGCAAAATCGAGGGTATTATGTAGCTATTTGAATAATAAGAAAAAAAAGTATCACAAATTTTTAAACAATGAAATTCAAAATGTAATAATTGAATGCCATAATTTTTTTGCTTAATTGATATTCAAAGTTAGTGTTCAAAGTCCTCAAACTCGACTGCAAATGTGTATCTGTTAAAGGTGATCTGTAGAGAGGTTTTACATATTTTATCCTTGAAAATGTCTTGCACACAGGCAGGTGATGAGACAGGTGGCCTGGGAGGTGCTCCGAGTGCTGTCGGGTTATAACCGTGAGGCTGCGACTCCAGCAGCAGCGCAAAGCGATCCCATGTCAGTGTCTGTCTTGACCACTCTACTGTGCGAATGTAGCACGAAAGCAGTCAATGAGTGAATGTGGTTGTGTTCCAATAAGACTATTTGTGGACACAATTTCCTATAATTTTCTCGTCTTGAAATATTCTTTTTTTTTTTTTTTTTTTTTTAGTATATTTTGATTGATTTCAGAGGGAAAGGGAGAGAGAGAGAGAGACATCAGTGATAAGAGAGAATCATTAATCGGAGTCCCACACTGGGATCCTGGCCGCAACCCGGGCATATACCCTGACCAGGAATCGAACTGTGACCTCCTGGTTCATAGGTCGATGCTCAACCACTGAGCCACACTAGCCGGGCTTGAAATATTCTTTTGATTTTTTCCCCCCAACCACTTAACGTAAAAATCATTCTCAGCTGTGGGCGTTACAGATCTAGGGTAGTGGGCCGGATTTGTTTGGCCGTAGTTTGCCAGTCCTGGGCTGAGCTCAAAAAGCTGTTGTAGCCCTAACCAGTTTGGCTCAGTGGATAGAGCGTCGGCCTGTGGACTCAAGGGTCCCAGGTTCGATTCCGGTCAAGGGCATGTACCTTGGTTGCAGGCACATCCCCAGTGGGGAGTGTGCAGGAGGCAGCTGACCGATGTTTCTCTCTCATCGATGTTTCTAACTCTCTATCCCTCTCCCTTCCTCACTGTAAAATAATCAATAAAATATAGTAAAAAAAAAATTAAAAAAAAAAAAAAGCTGTTGTAGGCGGTAAAGTGAGTTCAGGCACATGGAGCTTAGCATGGAGCCAGTGAACAGGGAGCCCTGCCTTCATCGTCCCGTCAGTAACACACGGTTCCCGTTAGGTCTGGCTGGTGTGAGGGCAGGGAGGTGGGTTTGCTTGGAATGTCTGGGCTTCCTGAGAGTATTTGCCTTTCACAGCTGTTCTGTCTGGTGTGTATGTGTGTGTGGATCTGGCGGAGTTTTTCACACAGATTCCTGTGTGTTTTCTTCTAATTTCTTTCATTCATCAGGCCTTCGCGGGGCTCTGTGCTAAGGTTCGGGGGCAGAAGGATGAATGGGCCATTGAGCCTGCCTGGGTGCAGTGTTCGTTACACTTTCTTCACAAAAACAGGTGGCAGTAGTTTTCAGGGATGATTGCCAGGTGGGGCATCTAGTTGCTACTCAGCTGTCTCTGTCACCTCAGACTTGACGTGTCCATCACTGGATCGGACACCCGCCTCCCAGGCTCCTCCTTGCCTGCTCCTTTTCTGCCACATTTTCCTGTCGCGCACAATCTGACTTCTTGGACACCACTAGCTCGCTACACAGCCCCGTGTTCCTTGGCGTCCGGAGGAGCAGAACTTAAAAGCACTGTTTGTCTGGGTGCCCAGGCTCTGCTGTTCATGAGCCCCGTGAAGTCCTGACTGCCTGTCCCTCAAAGGTCCCTGCACATCTGCTTCCCTCCATCCTTGCTGTCTCCGTGGGCATGTGTGGTGCTCGCAGCCTGCTTCCAGCCTCAAGCCTTCCTCCTGCCTTGTTCCCTGGGAGCTGTCAGAACAGCCTCCCCACGGCTGCTTTCCTCCTTTTCCAGCTGCTCAAGAATCCTCTATATTAAATAGAAACTACGTACCTTTATTTTTAAGTTGTTTGAAAGGAAATCAGGAAAAGGAAAAGCGAAGTGGCCCCCACCTTATGAAAGTCTCCAGGGGCTCGCACCCCTTAGACTCCCAGAGTTGTATTTTTGGTACCAAATGAGTTGGTTCTGCCTCTTTGGCCCCATAGCTGGGCCAGCCTGGCCCATGCGAGGCCTGTCCCGAGCTGGCTGCCTTCTGTGGGCTGCTGGCCCTGAGCTGTAGTTTGCCTTCCGGGGCTGCTTGGGTCAGCCGCTCCTCTCCGGGGCTTAATGAGCTCGTTCACTGAGCTTTGCTCAACACCAGTGCAGAATGGCTCCGGTCTCTGACCGCAGGTCCAGCCCCAGGTCCTCCGCAGGGGCTCCAGAGATGAGGCTCGCCTCTTCCATAAGAGGCTTTCTGGAATCCGTTGGCGTTGGATTCTCAAAGCTGGACTGTTTACCACATGGTAGCATGGCCTGGATGCCCACCTGGCATTTGCAGAGGTTCCCAGAGGGTGAGGAGTCAGGATGTGCCCGGAGTTGTTGGTGCACGGAAGGGTGTGGCCCTGTGTCCCAGGAGCCCTTTGGGGGAGCTGGGCCCTGATAGTCTTGTCAGAAGTATCCAGCTGGGCCTTTGCTCTTAGGAACTCTTCAGTCCCCTCCTCTGGGGCTCATAGCCACAGCTAGAGAGAGCATCCTTGGCCCTTTGCAAACGTGCGTCTCCTGGCCTGGCTGGTTCCTCTCCAGCCTCCCTCGCTGAGGAACTGCTTGAACGTAGGCAGAAAGGCCAGCCTCTGACAATAAACTAGTGCAGTGCCCGATTCCTTGAGAGGATCTGGTCAGCGACCTCGCCCTCCTCTGGGGAAGAGGGTGGAGTAGGGCCTCTGGCACATGGCTTCATGACTTCCTAAGGTTCCCTCAGGTCCATGCCGTCTTCCGTGGTGGCTTGTGATGGCCAGAGGGCACGGCTGGGGCGTTCGATCCCAATCTGACTTGACAGAGTCCCTGCAACTTGTCCTCTGCTGACCCTCCTGGTCTGTTTCCTGCCAGTCCTGGATACACCCCTCCACCTCCCCCTCTCCTCTCCGTTCACCCATTTGTACCTGCTGTGTCTGCTTCTGCTTTCTTGAGAGTTGCTGGGAATGGCTCAAATCCCAGTCTCCCCAGGAAGGCCTCCTGACCACTGCAGTCCATCCGCCCTCCCCTTTGCTGAGCCGCCGTGTTGCCTGTCTGTGCAGTGGGACGTCACATTTAGGTACACGTCATGGGCATTCTCCCTTTGGTTTACGTCTTGAGTACGTTAGAGGGCAGATCTTAAGGAATAGGCCTGCCTTGAATCCTAGCTCTACCTCTCGCCCTGCTTTCCTTCCTCTGAGCTGTTTCATTTGTAAAAAGGAAATTCCACATAGTACAGAGTTGTGTGACGTGTGACCAGGAGGCTGTCTGCAGTGTTCGGTGTGATGGTTGTGGTTACCATCAGTCTTTTTTATCCCCAACCAGACTTGATGCCTGGACTCGGCCACAGGCCTGCTCAGTAACCCTCACTACAAAGTAATTGGTCCTCCCTAATCCCCCAGGTACATGGCCACCTCTGGCCTGGACCACCAGCTGAAGACCTTTGACTTGCGAGGGACGTTCCAGCCTCTGAGTGCTCGGACCCTGCCCCAGGGAGCGGGGCACCTGGCCTTCTCCCAGCGGGGACTGCTGGCCGCAGGAATGGGTGATGTGGTCAACATATGGACAGGGCAGGGCAAGGCCAGCCCACCCTCCCTGGAGAAGCCCTATCTCACCCACCGTCTCTCGGGCCACGTGCATGGCCTTCAGTTCTGCCCCTTTGAAGACGTGCTGGGGGTGGGGCACAGTGGGGGCATCACCAGCATGCTGGTCCCTGGTAAGTGGGCCAAGGGGTGGGCCTGAGATAGCCGGGAGCAAGGGGCCTGGTCAGGCTGGAGTGCTGAGCTGGATTCTTGCTTATGGCTCCACGTTCTTCCCTCCCCCCAGGGGCTGCTGAGCCCAACTTCGACGGCCTGGAGAGTAATCCGTACAGGAGCCGGAAGCAGAGGCAGGAGTGGGAGGTGAAGGCCCTGCTGGAGAAGGTGAGGATGTGGGGGCTGGGGCAAGCTCTCATACTGGGGGTTTTGGAAAGAGTTGGATTCGGCAACCGCCTGGCTGCAGTCCCTCTTTGGGGTCACCCTCCTCACCCATTCCTGTCCCTCTCTCTGTGACACCTCCAGGTACCTGCAGAGCTCATTTGTCTGGACCCACGAGCCCTGGCAGAGGTTGATGTCATCTCTTTGGAGCAGGCAAAGAAGGAACGGATAGAGAGGCTGGTAGGGAGCAGACCCCAGGCCCAGGCACACCCTCACCCACCACATGCTAGAAGTGTGGTACAGCAGGTGGGTGCTGCCACAGTGCCCTGTCTCCGAGGCTGTTACAGACTTCACTCCTGTCCCCTTCCCCAGGGCTACGACCCAGAGTCCAAGGCTCCCTTCCAGCCAAAGCCGAAGCTGAAGGGCCGAAGCTCCACAGCAAGCCTGGTGAAGAGGAAGAGGAAGGTCATGGACGAGGAACACAGGGTAAAGGAGCATTTGGGGGTGGGCCAGGCCTCCCACGGGCTGTACCCTCCTTCTGCTGGTGCCTCTGTCCTTGCCAGCCTGCCACTTCACACTTTGCCCCCTATCTTCCCAGGACAAAGTCAGACAGAGCCTTGAGCAGCAGCCACAGAAGCAAGAGAAGGCCGCCAAGCCCATGGGGGCCCGGCCATCTGCCCTGGACAGATTTGTGCGCTGAGCCAGGCTCCAAGATGGCCTGGGAACAACACTCTCTCCCCAAGATCACCTATGGGGGGAATTCCTGTTCTCTGGAATGAGGAGGGGCAGGTGCCCCTTCCCCAACTGGGAATAGACAGCTGGCTCCTGGGGTGGGTGGGTATTAAAGAAGGAAGTGAAGTTTTTGGATAATGTGTCTGGATCATCCTGTGTACTTGTCCCCTTCCTTTGCCCAGCCTGGGGCTGCTCTAGGCTCCAAGTGGTCATGTGTCCCACCCCTACCCCCACCCCATCTCTCGTGGTTGCTGTGGCCTTATCTTTGCTCTTTAGGGGTTCTTCTCCTCAAAGAGGCTGTCCTCTCTCTCCCGAGTCCCTGGAGATGTGCTTCCCACCCAGCAGGGGCTGGCAGGGCCCAGGCTTGTGTGCCGGGACTCCTGGTGCGGACCACACTGCACTCGAAGTAGAAACACAAATTTATTGAGGGGCTCCTGCCCCTCTCCTGCCATGGATGGGGGATGACCACAGCATTGCTTTACTCTCCTGATGACCATCTTTGGGGCTGGCAGGCCAGACCCTGGGTTTCCCCTGTATCCTTCAGGCTTCAGTGACGGACTGAGCATCTGGTGTCAGGAAACTGTCCAGTTACAGCCAGATGCTTCGGGCCCGGGAGAACGGTGGGGGAGCTGGCCGGCCCCTCAGCTCCTCACTCCTCGCCAGTGGCCCGGGTCCTCAGCTGTGAAGCCAGGCTATTACCCTGCACCGCAGGATGCCCAGGACTCCCTGGAGCCAGGAGCAGAAGGGTGCAGTCCTTTCCCCATCAGAGCCACCCACCAGCTTCCAGGCTTCCTGCATCTTCCAGGGGTCCAGCCTGTGGGATGTCAGCAGGAATTTCCCATAGCAGCACCGGTCCAAGGGATAGTGGGTGGCACCAGCCAGCTTGACACAGTGGGTTGGGGTGAGGCCTCCCCGTCGGGCACTTACCCCCACAAAGACATCTTCCAGTGGCAGAGGGGGGGCCCGGCTGGCCACTTTGAGGATGAGCTGCACAGCGGAAGCTGACAACACATATCCAGTGCCCGAGGCATAGGGTGGGAAAGGGCCCCAGGTGGCAGGCCACTGCTCCTCCGATATTTGGTGCTTGTTCCCTGGAGTCCGAGAGGGGTGCACCCGCCAGTGCACACGGCCCAGGTACAGAAGAGGCATGGGCTGACTCACCGGGGTGGGGCGGCCTCCTTTCCACTCCCCATCTCCAGCCCCAGCCTCTCTCTGGGGCTCCATGCCCCTCTCCCATTGCTCCCAACGCCCCCCTCGCCGGACCAGCTCTGATACCAGTTCCGGAACGTTGACAAACACATCATCGTCCGTCTTGAGGATGTAGCGGGCCATGGGGCAGTGTTTGTCCGCCCAGCTCAGCCCGCTGAGCGTCTTGAGGGTCAGGTTGCGGTAGGAGTCGTGGAAGGCCGCCTGCAGGATGTCCCCCTGGGCCACTGACTCCCGTTCCAGGTCGTTCTCATGGGAGCCCCGGGAGGGATGCCGCCCGCTGGGCTCTCCCAGGAGAAAGAGAGTCTGCACCCTAAGCCCGCGGGCCTCGCGCTGCCCGCCCCACGAGGCCCGAATGGCGTTCCTCTGGTTGAGGTTCTCGGGGGCCGTGCACACCAGGATGAGCAGGAAGGGAGGCGCGCCGGGGCCACCGCAGGCGTCCTCGTTGGGGATCAGGAGACGCGGCAGGGCCAGGGGCGGCCCTGGCGAGGCCGGTGCGGGGCGCAGGGAGGCTAGCGAGAGGCTCAGCAGCTCCTCCCCGAGGCCCGAGGGCCCGAAGAGGGTCCAGACAATCGCCAGCAGCAGGGCGGCGAGGAGCAGGCGCCGGAAGAGGCTGAGGGGCATGGCGTGGCGCAGTCAGAGGGAGCCTGGCGGGGGAGACGGAGGGCGGTTGGAGGGCGCGGAGCCGGCTCTCGGCAGCCCGAGTCCCTAACCGACCACACCGAGGATGGGGCGAGCGGAGATGGCGGGCGGTACCTGCGCCATAAGGTGCGGAGGCTCGGACGCGGGAGGCTGCGGGGAGGTTACCTGGTCGCTGCCCCGCCACCCCGAAGCTCCACTCCATGGCTGGCTGAGCTGCTGCACCAGCCGCCTCCTGCCGGCGCGGAGCTGAGCGGCAGTCCCGCCCCTTCCCGGGAGGGGTGTGGCTCCGCACGTTCCCAGAACCCCGCCTGCGGCCTGGCAGATACCGGAGGGGGACTTTCTGGGGACCGGATTGGACCAGTGTGTGTTGACGTAGATCTTCCTCCCCAACCACGTGTTACCTCCGGGTGCCGGGAGCCGAGACCCTCAACGCCGTATCCAAGAAATTGCACCCCACCCCCAACTTTCCAACACCCGAGTCCCATACTGTAGAAACCTAGGACGGCCAAAACCTGCAAAAACTCACCGGACCTGCAAGACTCCAACTACCTGCACTCCCCAGTCCAGCCCCAGGGAAAACTGGTTGGGCTCCCCCTACAGGCTGAGTGACTATTCCCACCTCATACCTTAAGAGGGTGGGAAGGGAGTGACACCATTGCTTAAACCAAAACCGAGGACATTGTTTGGGTAGCTGGGTGGGGACATCAGTGGAGACTTGGGAAAATGACCAACAGGGTCCTCATGACAGCTAGCATTCCCTAGCAATGCCCCCAGAAGCAGAAAGAAAAGTCACAAAGGAAGCCATAGGTGTATAAACTATTTATTAACAGACGAGGCCTACAGACTTATTTCTTCTTGGACACACCCACAGTGCGACCCCGGCGGCCTGTGGTCTTGGTGTGCTGGCCTCGAACACGAAGACTGTAGGTGAGAAATGAATCACAGGTCATTCACATCACACAAAACACCTGGGAAGAGAAGGCAGCACCCAGGGAAAGGAGACCTCCACCCAGACTCACCCCCAGAAGTGGCGCAGCCCTCTGTGGGCCCGAATTTTCTTCAGCCGCTCCAGGTCTTCACGAAGCTTGTTGTCCAGACCATTGGCCAGGACCTGGGTTCAGAAGAGGGTGAGGGATGCTTATATTACCCTGACCTCCGTTGCCCTGCCTTTCTTCAATCTCTCATCTCAATACACACCTGGCTGTATTTCCCGTCCTTCACATCCTTCTGTCTGTTCAAGAACCAGTCTGGAATCTTGTACTGGCGTGGGTTCTGCATAATGGTGATCACACGTTCCACCTGGCAGGCAGGACACAGGTCAGATCCCGATGGCACCATTCCGAGGCAGGCCCAGCCCACAGGCCCCCTTCCTGGTCCTCACCTCGTCCTCTGTGAGCTCTCCTGCCCTCTTGGTGAGGTCGATGTCTGCTTTCCTCAACACCACATGAGCATATCTTCGCCCTACACCCTGAGAGGTTGTGGAATTGGGCTGGAGTTATTTTATGGTTTCCTTTATCGCCCCAGTTGTTAAAAAAAAAAGCAAAGTTAGGGCCTGCAACTGTCTAGTGCCGTGGTCGGCAAACTGCACCTCACCCACTTTTCCAGATAAGAAGCTTAATGATTAAGTAGAGAAGAGGAAAATAGTTGTTCAGGCGCAGGGCTGGACCAAGAACTTGGGGCAGACATCCCCTGGAAAGCAGGAACGCCTTTCATATTGCCCAGCATGTGCACTTCCTGATAAAGCTGGCTATCAGACAAAGCAGTGGCACAAAGAGCCTGGCACTTGAAGCTGATACAGCTTCAAAGCAGGTCTGTTGGTCAGCAGGCTTGATCAGATAGGGCTGTCAGCTCCTGGAAACTAAAGGTCTTTGGACCAGCCACTGCATAGCCATGATCAGTGTTATGTATTAATTTTAGAGAGGAAGGAAGAGGGAGAAACCTCCATTTGTTGTTGCACTTATTTATGCCCTTAGAGTTGTTTCTTGTATATATCTTGATGGGGGATTGAACCCACAATCTTGCTGTATTGGGACGCATTCTAATCAACTGAGCTACCTGGCCAGGGCCACAACAATCAGTTTTTAAAGATCACAAACTTGATTCTGGCGGTGCTCAAAGTTGACCAGGCCCTAGAGAAGTTATTGCCCAAATCAAACTTACTGGTGGCATCATATAAACACCAACCAAACAGATCTGGACAGTGAAGGATGGTGACCTGGGTTCAATAGTGCCCCCCACCCAATGTATTTTCACCCAGAATCTCAGAATGTTACATTAGGAATCTTTGAAAATATGGTCAGAATGAGGCTATACTGCATCAGGACACCCCTAAATCCAATGACCCTATCTCACTAAAGGAGAGGACATGTAGACAAAGAGGAAAAGCCATGTGATAACTAAGTCAAGAATTTGGAGTCGTGTGGCTGTAAGACAAAGGAATATTGAGGATTGCTGGTGACTACCAGAGGTTAGAAGAGGCAGACAGGATTCCTTGAGCCTACAGAGGGAGCATGCCCTGTGGACACCTTGATCTTGGCTATTTGGTCTACAGAACTGAGACCAGGTTCTGCTGTTTTAAGCCAAGTCTGCGGTAACCTGTTAGAACAGCCCAAGGAGAGATGGTATTTCCTCTCTAAGAAAGTGACCTATGACCCTGGCCAGTGTGGCTCCATTAGTTGGAGCCTAGTCCCAAGGGTCTCAGGTTCAATTCCCTGTTAGGGCACATGCCCCGGTTGCAGGTTCCATCCCAAGTAGAGGTGTGAATGGGAGGCAACGGATTTGTTTCTCCCTCCCTTATAAAAAAAATAAACCCTCAGGTGGATTTAATATGTGCAGATAAAATAGTATATGTTTAAGATTTACTTTAAAATATGCGTGGAAAGGGCATAGATGAAACAAGATTTTGTTTTTAGCTAGATGATACAGTAAACACCTTGATTTTATGGACCCTGATTTAATAGACTTCGGATTTAATGGACAAAATTTCCAGTCTGTATGTCATATGTGAAAATGAACACCCAATATCAACCTATAATTAAAGCAACAGGTTGTTATTCAGTTATTTTTAACAAAATGTAGCAAGTAGGCCATACAGTGGGAAAAACACTAGTAATTTCACTGACAAACATTACACAGCTACAATTAGTCTACATATTTAAGTCCAAGTTTCACTGCTCATAAACAATGTTCAGGGAACGATTAGCACATAATCACACTGCATTGTATGAGATAATTGGTTCTATTGTCGTGTGACTTTATGCAGCAGTTTTTAATGTTTTTATTGGTTTTAGAGATAGAGGAAGGGAGAGGATAGAAGTGAGGAGGGCTACTTCCTGCCTGCCCCCTACTGGGATCCAGCCCACACCTGGACATGCCACACCAGCCAGGGCTCTGCAGTGGTTCTAACTCGTGCCAGGACGGGTGTTCCCCAGCCGGTGCATTTGTTTACTCATGGTGACTGCTGAACACACACACACTTACTAGACCTATTAAGTATAAACTTAAAATCACAGTAAAACATAAAAAACTGTGAAATTAAAGTTTTCATACCTAATTGCACAAACGTTCCTACATAAGTAAAAATAGGTAAACCAGATCCACAGATGCCCCCTTTTCCATCCAGACTACACTACAGGGAACAGTCATGTTTGTAGTCCAAGGGCCTGGACCACGCTATAGAAGAGCTAATACTCTGAAAGCATTTAGAGAAGTACTGCTCACAGGGACACTGGCATTTTGGCAGGACAAGTGTTCCTTACACTTCCCAGTCATTAGTAACCCAGATGAGTTATCCCCGATTTAGAGGAAGAACAGAAGACCAGGCAGCCCTAAAGGACACCCATAGCAAAAATCTACACGTGGAAATAAAAACCCCAGGAAGGGAAAACAGCAGAGAAATTGTGCAGGATCTTTATTACCTCTCAACACCCTCTTCTTGGTATCTTCCATTCCATTCCTCACCCTTCCCGTGATTAACTGTGCTGACCACTTTAGAAGAACCCCTCCCTCCACTCAGGCTGCCTTTCCCCATCCTGGGTCCTTAACGAAAGACCAAGCTTTAGTTCTCTTACCAGAGGAAGAGCTAGCTGCCTTTGCTGGCTCTTCACAAAATTAGCAAAAACCTCATCTATAGAAATAACTTTCCCAATGATAAGCAGGGCATCAGGACCCCTAGAGAGACTTCATTCAGTACCTGAAACTGCCTCAGTAGTGCTGTTCTTTGTAAATATATTTTTATTGATTCCAGAGAGGGAGAAACATCAACCATAGATTGGCTGCCTCCTGCACGCCTCCTACTGGGGATCAAGCATGTGCCCTGACCTGGAATCAGACCTCCTGGTTCGTGGGCCCTCGCTCAACCAGTGAGCCAACACCGGCCTGGAGGGTTGTTTTAAGTTGACAAGTTATAACATATATTTAACTAATGAGTACAAAACCAATTTTGAAGACGCAGTTTAACAGAAGCACCCCATTAACCACAGCCACCCTTTACCATTTCATTTGTCTCATTACAACCCTTCGAAAAGGAACTTCTGTACTTTACACTGCCTTACTAGTTCCCCACAACAGAAGCAACCTTCTTACAAAGGTTAAGTTGTGCTCCCTGCAGTACAGCGTTAAGAACCAAGGGAATTTGATGAACCTAGGATTTTAGTTTTAAACGCATCAGTTTCCTTTAAAATTCTCTGAAACCAGGCAAAAGCATCCCTGATAACATCCCCGCCCTAATACTGCTTGAGCACCTATCACACAAGCTGGGAACTGTGAGGAGACAGGACTAGCTCCGACCCTGGAGGGTGCACATCCTGGTGGGAAAAGAAGTCATTCAGCCATCTCCACACTAACCACAAGTATCCCAGAGAACAGAAACAGAATGGAAACATGCCCCCCTTTGGCTCCAAGAGTTCATTCGTTTGGTGAAGAAAGACATTCACCCACTTATTCACGCAACCAGCCAAGTACTGGTTCCCGCTTCAGCTGGACAGAGGCAATGACTTTCACCTCTGGACATGTGAGGAAACATCCTGCTCATGATGTAGTGACATCCCTCCCAACTGTTCCTTCACGCTTGGGATCTGTTGGCACGTCTACCCACCCAAGATGCACAATTATTCGATTTATGGGGCATATAAATGTCGCAGGAAGGGCTGCTGTTATGATGCACCGAGGGAAGGAGGCACAAACCAAACCCAGGATGACCTCCAGATGAGGGCCGAGGGCCCAGGAAAATCCTGGCGAACTCATGTAGACAAACCCACTCC